TTTTTTTTTTTTTCCGGAACCTGGCCCATGAGGATGCTGCTGCCCACATTCTGGGTCGGTCTTCCTAATGCATTTTTAATTCTTTGGAAATTCTCTCATAGTCATGCCCAGAGGTGTGTCCCCCAGGTGATCCCAAATCCAGCCAAATTGAAAAGGAAGACCAACCATCACGTATTGGTGTGCAATTTAATAAAAGTGTTGGGCAATCTTTCATCTCAATTAAATTCACTCATCAACTTTTTGAAATGATATGTGATTTTTTTTAATATCCCTAGTCTTTCTTATTAAAAGGTAGATGACTATGCATTCTAATTTGCACTTTGTTCTTTCTTCACCCAACTCTATTGTGGAACATGTAAATCACCGTATTAAACATTCTTAACCCACCACTGTCTGAGTTTATCTGGGCATCTGGTCCTGGCAGATTTGGAAAGTAACTCAGAAGCAGTAACCAGGAGACTGGAATGATCAAGTATTTTGCATTTGGGATGACTGCAAAAAACAAATATGTTCTGTTGAGTGTGGTAGTACACACCTTTGGTTCTAACATTTGAGAGCAGAGGCTGGCATATATCTGTGAGTTTGAGGCCAGTTTGTCAATACAGTCAGTGTTGAGGAGTGTTCATCAGAGAACACTTCTTGGACACGGGCTTAAGCCAATAGAAAGTCTATTAGCTGGCCAGATGTTTAGGATCCCAGTTGTAATGGCCTTCTGAGACCTGCGGTGTGGTCTCATGGAGTGCCCATCCATCTGTCTCTCCTTGTGGAACTGGTTACCCCATCAAGGTCTCTCACCCACCACGCAGCTCCCTGCCTGGGACTCGCTGCCCCTTGTGGCCCACTGCAGCCACTAGGGGAACTGCTCTGTCCCTCCCTGTGGCACTTGCTGCCCGTTGCCTGCCACCACTTCAGGGACCTGCAGCATGGTCTCATGGCCCATTGCCCACCGCAGCTACTCGGGAATCTGCACCATTTTACTTAATCCATTACATTGGTGCCATGACTGTGCCAGGCTCTCCACATTCCCTCTGGCCCACGGGCAGGCTTGCTGAGGACATGTGGAACCCTGGGCTGGGGAACCAGGTTACTTTACAACAGCTCTCCATTCTGCCTGGGCGTGACTTCTACATGCACCACTATGTGCACTGGCTTCAATTGGTGAGTACCCCAATTCTGGTCAGCTTAACCGTTTCTCCAAACCAAGGAATTGACTGTTGAGCTCCTGGAAATCTTCTGGTTTTTCTAGAAACGGGGGTGGGGTGCAACCATGGTCTTTACGGTTATGGTTGAGCCCTTCACTGACATTCATTTCTGGATTGCTTCCTTCAGCTAAAACCGTGTTTGGATGACCCAGGGGCCCAGGGGCCCTCAGAGTTTTCTTTCTCCTCTTTTTCTTTTCTCCCCCCCCCCAACTTGTGTTTTTTGTTTTTGTTTTATTTTGGTTTGGTTTTTGGGTTAAAGGCCACTCAGAGTGGCCTCTGGCCTCCCTGGCTTCCGAGTAACCCCAACTGGATCCAGTCAGGTTTTAGCACCCTGCCTATAGGCAGAAGACACTCTCCTACAGGCCTTGCAGTGTTCGCCAATGATTCACACCTCGCCTACAGAAGGGAGATGTCTCCCTATAGGCCTTGTGGTGTTGCTGTTTTCCGGGTTTTCATGGTTTCAACTATGGGTAGCAAGCCATCCATGTCCATCAATCCAGCCTCCCCCTGGGATGGATGCCTTTTAGAGGCCTTAAAATTCCAGGCCCTAAGTCCCTACTTCTTCAGCTCCTACCCTCACTCTGCCGGTGTTCGGCTGGCTCCACTTTAGGGAGCTTTCTTACCACTGTCAGCACACAGGCAAATGGAAGGAGTTTCCTCAAACTGTCCCTGCCACTGCCACTGCTGCCACAAGACTGGTCGGATGCACGAGGCAGCTGTTTTCAATTCCAGCCTTCTGCTCCCTGCTGTTGCTTGTGGCATGGCAGCTCAGGGACAGAGTGGATCACGCCTCTAGGTCTCACTTATTATTAAACTTAAAATCCCTGCAGCTCAAAAAATTGTGGCTTTTTCATACAACATGTGACCGCTGACATTTTGACTGAGGTAAGGTGACTTTACCACCATCTTAACTGAGGTCAGGTGACTTTGCTGCCATCTTGGCTGAGAGCCAGGTAAGGTGACCAAGTTTCACCATCTTTACTGAGGTATTCCCTGCCTGGTTCCCCACTGTTAACTCTGTTACATGGGTGATCTTACCGCCATATTAACTGAGGGCAGGTGACTTCACCACCATCTTAACTGAGAGCCAGGTCAGGAGACCGAGTCCTGCCATCTTTATTGAGGTATACCCTGCCTGGTCCCCTGATTTACTTATGTTTTTGTCTCTAAATTCCTCTTGCTGACTCTGTTGCATGTGTGTCTTGCGCAGTGGCATGCCTTTGGTAGGGCCCACCAAGAGCATCTACTTCACCCAATTTCTTTTCACTGTGTGTGTGTTCGTACATGTAACTTAAATGCACCTATGTTTACTGTTAAATGTTATAATTGTCTGTTCATTGTGTCTCATTCCAGACTATAAAGCAACAAGTTTCATGTTTTAAATTGGTAAGTACTTTTAAGTCTCTTACAATAATACGGTACATTTAATCCAACCCTGCTTTAAAATATATTGATCTGTTCTCTACTATTGTCAGTTCTGCCATTAACCTTCTATTGCAAACAGTTTTTTCTTCTTTCTGTCTTTTTATGAGTATAAATTTCATCTGTTATTCTGTTTTTTTTTTTTTTTTGGTTGTTGTTGTTGTTATTCGAGACAGGGTTTCTCTGTAGCTTCGGAGCCTGTCCTGGAACTAGCACTTGTAGACTAGGATGGCCTGGAGCCTCTGCCTCCTGAGTCCTGGGATTAAAGGCATGTGCCACCACCTCCTGACTGAGAAACCCTGTCTTGAAAAACCAAAAAAGAGAGAGAGAGAGAGAGAGAGAGAGAGAGAGAGAGAGAGAGAGAGAGA